GTCCAGCTGTCCAGGCAGAGAGATGGTCCAGGGAAGCTTCAGGGGTACATGGTATTGAAGGCTATTTAGACTCTGAATTCAAGAACTGAGGTGGAAGGGGAGGACTTTTTGATGGAAGGAACAGAATGAGCATGTCTTGGTGGCAGGAGAATTTGGGTGTGCCTGGAGAAGAACAGAGCGAACCTGATGGAACCGAGGCTGAGGAGCTGTGGCACAAAAACTGAAATGACAGACAAGCTCCAGATACAAGGCCTTGAAGGAGACCTAAGGAGATGGCACGTTATTCCAAGGACGGGTGAGAGCCACACAGGACTTTGGGGCAATTATTTAACTGATTTGCATCCCTCTCCCCAGTGATAAGGGGAAAAAGGTTATTTTGTAGTCTAAAGGTCATTATAATTGTCTAAAGGTCATTATAATTTCTCACTCAACAATAGAACAAAATTCAAGCAACCTTCCGTATGTCACCCAATGAACTGGAAAAAATTTCATTCTGAAATTCTGCAGGAGAAGATTGCCTTCACTGCTCAGTATTCATGCCGTGTTGGAAGAGCGGTGGTTCCATTAAGATGCTGGAGCGAAAGCTGCACACACGGGGGCCCAGGAAGCCCAGTTGTCTGGGGGACAGGAAGAGCCTTGGCCACACTGGCCTTGTCCTGAGGCCCCCAGGCTTCCCAGTCTCAGCTTTCTGGACGTCAGGACTTGGCTCTGGCCTCTGGTCCCCATACGTGACTGCTCTTGGGCACTGGCACTAACTACATTCTGTACATGAAAACACAACGCTGATACGGCACAGCGCTCTCTTCGTGTTTGAGTAAACTGTGTGTATGTGCATTTATATATATATAAACGTGTAAATACACACACCTCACACCAAATGGTGATGTACGTACCATTATCTTATTGTGATAGCTGCTATTTGGTAGTAAAAACAAGATTTTTCCTAAAGAAAAATTTTTCTGTAAGAGCAAGCCCTCCACCGTGTATGAAGAATCCAGCCAATACTCAATTAGTATTTATTGATCAGGTGATTTAAGCTAAGTCTTTCAGCCTCCAGCATATGCCTCATTTCCTTCTCGGATCAGGAGAGCAGCTAGTTAACATACTTGCTTTAATAAGACAAAAAGTATGGCTTTGATTTTCTTTTAGACCCGTGAAAGGCAAGATGGCTTATTTCTTTTAAAAGCTGCTGTGATAAGGTAACTGAACTCATCATCTGAAAGCAATCTATCGACACGTTATGTGTGTGTGTGTGTGTGTGTGTG